GGCCCCGCGGCGCGCTCAGCCCGCGCTCTCTGCAGGGGACCAGTACTGCGGGGGACGCCTGCAGAAGCCGTCGGGCTCCTTCCACACGCCCAACTGGCCGGAGCGGGACTACCCCGCGGGAGTCTCCTGCTCCTGGCACATCGTGGCCCCGAAGAACCAGGTAAGGCAGCTCAGCTCAGCTTCAGCGCGCAGGGACCCAGCCTGAGAGCCGGCGGCTGCCCGGGACACGCGGTGGCAGCCGGCGGGCACAGCGGGCCGGGCAGGGACAGCGAGCACGGGCGCAGCTCCGCCACCCCACCTGCCTCCTCCTCACCGCCCCAGTGCCTCCCGTGCTCCCTCAGCAGCGCTGGTACGGCCCCCTGAATGAAACCTCTTAAAGCAGCTGTGACTGCTGAGGCTTTTAAGCCAAGGAGGGTTTAAACATTATTTTCTTAATTCAAAAAATACCGTGCAAACGAAGTCAAGGCACGTGATCATCTCAGCACCAAACATGATGATGACCAACGCAGCATTTAAGTCTAACAATGTCTGAGCATTTTTGGTGTTGCTGCAGTTTACTGTTGAGGTGCCCAGGTAGAGCTGATTGAATTTAATAAAAGCAGTTTGTTCTATTTCGTATTTTGAAGGCTCCATCACATAACATGCTTGCTTAATTAGCCAGATGCCATGAGAGCATGTTACCACTTCATTAGGAGCTGAGGAGATGTGACAGCAGACTGAGAGAGCTCTTGTGCCATGCATGGCAAACACAAGCGCGTTCTCTACACTGTAGGGCAAATCTCAATCCTAGCTGCACATTTTCTGGTTGCTGCTGAGCCATCTGCTCTGTATCTTAGGAGGTCTACAATGCTTGAATGTTTTGGTTGACAAGCATGTTTGGTAGGTTGCTTTTCTTGCCACATTCAGCTTTTTAAATTAATTTACATATAAAGATGACTTTCCTCTTCATCTTCTGCTCATGACTAATCCTTGAAATAAAAAAAAAAAGCTGCCCCAGATAAATATATTCTTCTGATCATTCCTACTTTTGCATTTACCAAGACAGTTCCTTTCTTGAACTGAAGCAGTATGTCAGCTTAGTGTTTCCTGTATTCCTTTTTAATGCACGTTCCTTGCTTGCTAGACACAGGCCATTTAACAATCCTATACATAGGCAGTGATTTTTAAACCCTTATCTGTAAACTGCAGATTACTTTGGTTCTTTCCAAATGTCTCTAGATAAACCTAAGAACTTTTCCTAAGCTCATAGAGAAGATTTGAGAAAGACTGTATCAGCATAAAAATAAGGGCATTATATCCTGTGCCTTTTGATGATTCTATTCCATAAATCTACCTGTTTCCAAAAATATATTATTCATGTACTGCAACAGTGGTTGTTTGCATGGAAAAATGGCAGAATTTTGACAGTGCCATTTTCCATTAAGTAGTGAATAAGCATCTCTCTTCAAGTGCATATAAAAAGCTCCCCAGTCTTCCATTTGCCAGAATTTAGGTGTCATCTCTATTTCCCTTTCATAAGGATGTAAGCAATAAAACAAGGCACTCTTGTTTTGTTGCTTCAAATACAAACCAATAATTACTTCATTTATTACAGAAGATGAAGAAGCTTCTCCTGATCATGAAGAGCTTCTATCATAAAATACTTATTAGTGCAAAGTGCACTTATTGAACAATAGTGAAGTAGATATTATGGCCTGCTGTTTTGCCTGCTGTGGAAAAAATTAGCATTTCTATTCCCAGTTGCATTACTGCTTCCTATACCATCTTTTTTGATCACAAGCATGTTATTCACATGAGTATTCCATTTAAGGTGCATTTTTTCATCATGATACTGAGGGTTTTGAAACAAGCCTGTTAGTCATCTCTGAAATCAAATCCCTCAAGGTTACTCATACTTAATGGGGAAAAAAAATAGTAAAATTATGCCTTAAACATCTTAATAGTGCAAAACAATATCCAAGCAAACCTAAGACATCAGGTGATAACAGGCTATCATTACTATGAATGTAGAACAAGATAACTTTTAATATATCAGTAATCAAATAAAGTACATGCCATGTACAAATTACTTCTTTTTCTTTGTACAGTCTTAGAAGATTTAACACCATCTTTGAGTCAGATCTTTATAAAGGTTGATCTACAATCAGCATAAATCAGTCTTGTCATTCAAGCCTTATTTGTGCTATTTATGGGAAGGTGATTTGAATACTGTTGTGCTTCATCTAAAGAAGCAACCTAAATACATATATTACCTCTGTTTCCATGCAGCAGTTAGGTTGTGTTTCCCTTCCTTGCCACACATGACTGACAGTCATTCTGCAGGACTTCAGATTAGTAGATTCCATTTCTGTTTTCCTGTGCATTGTTTTGTTTTTCCTTAAGTAGAGAATCCATAAATGTAAGTCATTGGAGATAATAGCATAAGTATTGGAAATACCAGTATGATATGAGTTCACATTTATGACTTATAAAGCCTCAACAATTATGGAAATCTGACATGGAAACACTGTTCTTTTAAGTAATTACTTTCTCTTGGGTTTAGTCTTACTATTTGCTAATTTTCTTTCTATCAGTATTTTAATTACTAATATTTTTAATTCTGCATCAAGTATACACAGCATTGGCAACCACTGATTTAGGTCCTGCTGTTAATGAAGTCAGTGAAATGCCTCGGATCAACTTTGCCTATGCTTTTTCTTTAGCATATCTTGAATGATGAAATGACATTAAAAGCTCCTTTTCTGTTGCTTACATTTGCTGTAGTTATTTTAAGAGTATTGTAACACCTAACACCTACTAACATTCACTCATAAAAATAACTTTATCAGAAGTTACTTGCATACATTTGAGAAGAAAATGTTTTACAGAATATTAGTCATATGCTGAACTATTCATTGGAGAGGTCATGTGGATTAAAATACTTTACAATTAAGTGGATTAAAGAATTTTCCTTTATCAAAAGAAAAATTAAATAGTACTTCATATGAAGATGTCAATTACTACAGTAAGTATTAATAAATTCTGCATGTCAAAATCTAAACAACTTATTTCCATTTTCCCTTTAGCTAATAGAGTTAAAGTTTGAGAAGTTTGATGTGGAGAGAGACAACTACTGCAGATATGACTACGTGGCAGTGTTTAATGGTGGGGAGATCAATGATGCTAAAAGAATTGGGAAGTACTGTGGAGACAGTCCACCAGCGTGAGTAACTTCCTTTAGTTGTGAACTTCACCACCACTATGTGTCATTTTGCTAACAGTTCTGTCCAAGGCTTATAAAAGATTTTAATTTTTAAATTAAATGCAGTGTTTTGTACCTCAAACTGAACATGTAGAAATTGTCTCTCTCTAGGTTTTCTCTATTTTCTCTCTCTCCATGACTAACCCTGTCCCACAAGCCTCATTAGACCACTGTGTAATAGTAATGGTAGCTGAACATTAACATAATGTGTATGTTTTGATTATAGATACTGAAGGACAAAGGATCCAGCTGAGCTCTCTAGCCCCTGGGCTCATTCCTCCCTTTATGTGACTCATTTTCCTCTCAGCCCTTTTTAAAAAGACAGGATACACAGACTGGGTCAGATTTTTCAGATTTGGCCTTGTAGTCCTGGTGTTCAGGAAGCAGAACAAAGCTCTTGGCAGCTGATAATCAGTGCCCTCCTACATTCACAGGCTGTGTCAATACTAAAGCAAGGAAAGTCTAAACTGGGCAACCACCATGGCAGTGTAAATCCAAAGAATTCCAGTTAATCAGCCCCTTACTTTTGGTTATGTCAGACCTGGCCATCAGAGTAAACTGATTTCTGATAATCTGCCAAAAAAAAAAGATACAATAACAAGTTTTTACTTCAAAGACCTCATTAAGGGTTTTGAAGAAGTCCTGGGTAATCAATATCTAATCATAGATAAAAAGTAAGCCCACAGAAGTAACAACCCAAAACATTTTATTTTTGCTGGGTTTGTTGAAGACTTGTAGAATTCAGTACTTCATGAATTTTCATAGCCCTTCCAATTGTGCTATATCTTTTTCACTAAAAAAAGCCAAGTTTTAAAAAACCCCATTTACTTACTTCCCCTGTGTACTGAGGATTTCTTCCATGTATTTTCCCTCTTTCCTAATCTGACCCTTTCCATTTCATGGAAGTGAAGTCTGCAATGGAGTCACTGGAAGAATTTAACAATACTCATATTGACTTAAACTTCAGGAATCAAGAGTATTAGGTGATTAATGGAAATGAGTTTCATCCTCAAAACACAGTGTGTGACATGTCAGCAAAGAATCACATATTTTTCAGTATTAGCCTGGAGTGTTGGTTTTTTTAAAGAATGTTATTAATGCTTTTTGGCTTTGACATGTGAAAGAATGGAAATATTTTATTTTGGTTTTCTATTTTAGGCCTATTCTGTCTGAGAAAAATGAATTGCTCGTTCAGTTTTTATCTGATTTAAGCTTAACAGCTGATGGTTTTATTGGCCATTATAAATTTAGACCAAAAAAGTTACTCACAACTACAGCTCTGCCTACAACCACAACAGTCCCTGCTACCTCAAGTAAGTCTTACTGGCTCTATTTAATTTCCTATAAAAGTTAATTATTCCAGGACAAGGAGAGAGTTACAGAAATACAAAAGAGCAAATTACATTAAAAATTCAAGTTTTACGGTTTGTTAGTATTTTAAATGTTGAATGAATTCATTAAAATTAATACACTCAAGGGAGTACTGGAATATACTCAAGGGAGAATACACTTAACATTATTAAAGGAAATCTATCCAGGCAAGAGTTCAGTGTAAAAGTAACTTACTTCACCTCAGAGAATTTTCCTGTCTCTTCTCAATTTTGGACAGTTAACTAGCACATTCCATAGAAGAATGGAGAAGCTAATTTCTTTTGAATAAAAAGTTCTGAATATTTTGGGAAATAGTTTTACTTAAAGGAACTCTTTCTTCTATACAGGTTGATATGTAAAAATCTTACTGTATTTTTCTTCATATAGTTTTTAAGATCAAGCAAAATTGGTATGGCAGCCAAATGTTCTTCAGGTTCTGTCAACACCTTGTCAATATGACACTCTCCTAGAATAATTTTTATTTGAAAATGCTTAGTGATTGGAACTTACAGAGAAATATGTCTCACTGAAACTAAGTCTCCTTTTGTATTTAAGACTAGACAGCAAATATGAAAGATCAGAGCTGGATTTATCTGAAGGTGTTGCCAAAAATACCTTATTACTGAGATACTGAAGGGATAAATTCTTAGAATTTCTATAACCTGAATGTGAGGCATTTCAGATACAATTATAGCAGAAAACCAAATTATTTATGATGTTTCTGCAAGACATAACCTGATTTGTACTTAAAACACATCACAAATCAGGACAGCAATGCCTTGTCAGCAGGAAACCAAGAAGCTGTGGTGCTTTAATCCTGCTAATGAAGGTATTCAAAATCAATGAAAATAAACATTTAAAAAATGAAATCATAGTGACCTGTAAATCATTCTGATGTGACTCTACAATAAATAATTCAGCTCTTATTCACTCTCAAGCACTTGTTAATGACTTCGTTGGTTGGAACACTTGGTCTCAAGTAACCCAGGCTGTCAGGAACCCTGTTCAGGGTTTTGAACAGGCACGAGAGGTGAAATTTACCAATTAACTCCAAATCAATTCTCATGACAGCATCAGTATTAGAAAATAAAAACAGAGAGGACAACAGAGGCAAAGTGTTCAAAAGACTTGTCAGGCAGACAGAAAAAAGAAGTCCTTTCAAGGTGTGATCAGATTTGCACAGTGTAGGCATTTCTGATCTTCAAAACAAACCAAAGCAAACCAAAGCTCTACAGCTCAGTTACATTTCTGAGCAATCACTGGCATTCAGAAGTGTCCAGTTCAAAGAGACTCATCTTATTATCTTGCAAATCAGATCCATTTAAACTTGCACAGAACTCCAGGTATGAATAAAATATTAAACTTTAGTAGGCTCTTTCAAGAATTATGTCAGTCTTTATGTAACACACAAATATTAGTACTTGCAGAAATAAATAAATGCTATAAATACATTTGTAAAAGTAATAAAGACTAATCCAATACCTGTAGTGAGGTATTTAACTTCTTTACATCACTGGATACAGTAATGCATTTTCCTGTCAGTGTGCCTATATGTAAAGTGGTAGACAACTAAACTTTTATTTCAGTTCTTCTCCAGTTCTTGTTTTGCTAAAGTACCTTACAAACAATAGACAGCCTCTGCTGACAAGTCATAGCAAAGTTGGTCACCAACCAAAATTTATTAAACTGAAAAAAAAAAAAAAAAAAAAAAAAAAAAAAAAAAAAAAAAAAAAAAAAAAAAAAAAAAAAAAAAAAAAAAAAAAGTGCCCTAAAAGGACCAAACAAGACTATTTTGTAACACATAATCCCAGTTTTAAATTTAGAAAAATGAGAACATCTCAATAAATTTCTAGCAGCTACCATGCTGGCATGCACCTGGGATTCATCTACCTGCTGGATGTCCTACTATGGACACTAACTTGAAAGACTCAGGGAACATTAAATTCTTAATTTTTGGTGTGCTGTTATATAGCACTGAGATAGGAAGCACTTGCCTGACCTGTACATTGACATAGTAACTTGTTTTTAAAACATTTTTCCTTGTGGGAGGCATTTAACTTTCTAAAGATTGAAATATCAAGAAGACTGGAGAAAGAAAAAGGAACAAACCAGCCCAAAATAAATAAAAAACTATGAAGCCTAAGCTTTAAACTTAGGATTTGAAAGGCAAAACAATGAGAAGTGCAGGTCTTCTAACAGTCATGTCCATTGCACTAAAGGCAAAGTAATTTTAATATAATTTAGTTTATTCTTAGAAACTTGTAAAATTATTCAGTTAAAAAGAAGTACAAGTATAAAAGTATAAACTACTGATTGAAAGTTAGTCAGAAGGTTTTTTTCAAAAGATATAGACTGAATAAAATTTGCAAAATCCTCCATTCTAAAGTAAAAAACTGCAAAGATACTTGTCATAACTAATTTAGTTTTTCTTGGAAAATAAGGTTATGTAGGGATTTGTAGGATTTTTTAAAAATTCTGTCAGTCTCACCTTCATGTTTCCAATACCTATGTCACTGACTAATTCCAAATAAATTTGAAAAGGACATAAAACCCTTAAAGTACTGCATCCCAAGATGTTTCATGGAATGAAGAGACTATGAGCATCAACTCAAGTATGGAAAAGATGCCAAGTGTATTCAGTTGTTTATAAACAAAGCATTCTATTTCAGAAAGGAATTGTCAATCCCTAATGTTAAATCCATACTTCAAACATCTTGTTTCAAAATGTAATGAAGAAAAACTATGCAACATTACCTGGCATGAAGCTGTGTGAAAAATTTCATTGAAAAAAAGGGTCAGGAATTTGAACTCTGATCCCTTTCATCACAGTGCGGTAATTCCCAATCAAAGGCCACCCCCTCTCTCAGAAGTGTTACTGTACCATTGTGCTGTGGTACTCAGGTGTTCTGCTAGGGCTGTATGGCAACAGCAGTGACTTCAAATGCCACAAAAATCTTGAGTAGCATCCCATTCTCTCTGGCCACTAGAACAGACACAGCTGAGACACCTGAAAAGACAATGACTGGAGGTGACAGCAGAGAAAAGGAATATTGTTACTGTGGTGCTCATCCCCTGAAATGCCAGGTCTAGTTCATGCATACATCAGGATTGTTCCTCTTTCTTCTTGTCTTTTTTTGAACATACTGCTTTTCATTTGTATCAAATGCTTCATTTCAATTTCAATTTCCTTTTTGCTCTTCAAAAAGCTGTGAAACCTACAGTTGCCCTGTGCCAGCAGAAGTGTAAAAGGAGTGGGACTCTGGAAAGCAATTATTGTTCAAGCAACTTTGGTAAGGAAGCAAAGTTTCTTTTTATTTATTCATTCTCTACTTTGTTTTTAGACTCAGGGAAATTTTCTCAGATGTAGTTCTATGTTACCATTAATACATAGTCTTATATTTTACACCACTGTATCTATGTATCTGACATTGGAGATATTCTGAAATAGGCACTGCACAGGTATCTGAGACAAACATACCTTCTCAATCTGAAAAGCAAATGACAATGTAAGACAACCTCAGGATTCATTGATTCAGTTACTGTATTGTCATCTCCATTTTCTGTAACCAGCCAATACATGTAATGCTGCACCTGCTGACTGTTCCACAAATACAGTGTATACACTTCCAAAATGCTTTGAAAAGAAATTAGAAGGGATGGAAAATTCCAAGCCCTGCTGTCTGTACACAGACATAAATCAGTCAGGAAAAATGGTGTCTGTGGTGTATTAGCATCTGTCACTACTGATCTATTAAGTTATGTGTCAGGGTATTTTCCCTATTAATACTGCAATCATTTTTTAATCCCCTATAACATGCCTGGCAATTTGATGAGAAAACTCTCTGCCACCACCCTATTTTCATTTTAAGATGACTCTCTCTTACTGCACTGCTAATCCCATGAGATTTGAGGAAGTTGAAGGGATCTGAGGGCGTCTTTGCCTGATGGTGCCCAAGCAGCAGGGGAGGCTGTGGCTGTACCCTGAGGCTGGGTGGACTCAGGGAGCCCCTCCCAGCCCTCACCACCAGCCCCTTCCAACCTGGTCCAACACAAAAGAAACAGGTAGGGAAAAACCCCAAACCGTAAATGGTCTCCTCTTACTGACCACATGTAGTTTGTGGGCCCCGAGTTGGGCAACTCCTGGGGGCTCCCCTGGCAGGGGAGCCCCTCCTGGAGCAGTCCTGTGTCAGAAACGAGAGATGCATTGGACTGCTTCAGTCTTCAGCTTCTGTTTATTGTTATCTTATCAAAACTTCAGCATGCTGTCTGCACCCAGACCTTGCATGCATGAAAACAGCACAAAAATAACAATCTCGTGCTGCAAGGTCTTTTTAAGTCTATTTAAAAACTAAACTACCCAATTAAGAAGTGACACCTAAATTATTTTCCTTTCTAATCCAATAACTGACCCCTAAAGACCTGCAATGCAGATTTTTCTATCCAATTACAAGATGCCACCTAAAGCCAAGAAGAAAGAAGAAGAGGAAGAGAGAAGAAAGGAACTTGCGACAACACCCTATATCCTCCATCTTGAACCCATCTATAACATACTAAAAATCCTAAAACCTAAATTTCTCACCCATGTGACATACTACACTACTATCTACAATCTCTATAATCTATTTCACACTTTTGTGGTTTATAGTTTACTTTGAGGCTTTGGAAGTTTTCTCCATGAATGAGGGTAAAAATCAGTGTTTTCCTGGGAGTCAGAGCACCCCAGGGCAGACAGGGGAATATTCCCCTTGCCCTGGGTTCCCACAACCACACTCCAGCTCTTGTGGCCCATAGTAAATGATCCTATATAAAGCTTGGTTTTTTTCCTCTAGCATCACAGTAATAAATCACATTCTTCTCTCCCATCTTCTGTCAAATACTTGACCTTTTTCAGTTTTTTCTGTGACAGGAGTGAGAGTAAAAATACTTTATATGCTACTGTGAATGCAAGCATATCCTAAGGTAGGATTAGGAAGTCTTTTGTTCATAGATATGATTTATTTGGAGTTTATTTGCAGAATTTGTGATTTTAGAAAAGAATAACTATTTCTCTTTCATAATACATTTAATTTTATTGTTTCTAGAAATATAGCTGCAATACCCAGCACTTTAACATCCACAGTTCCCTCTTGATTGAACTGGAACATTCTATTTAATTTAAAGCTCTCCATTAAAGGAAGATAATGTACAAATTTACAAAATCCCAAAATATGGATTATGCAGTTTTGTAAAATAAATCTGGCTGTACACACTTGATAATTGAAGATCAGATTTATCCTAGGATAGAATATCTGAATTAAAAAGATGACCTGAGAAGAAACCAAATTGTTAATACCAATTACCATTTCCTTTTGATAAATAAAGATGGCTTACCAATTAATTTAGTCATCCTAGGGAAAAGAAAGTATCTTGATTTTCCTACTGAGAGGTCTTTGGGAGATGTGATGGTAACTAGAAATGTGTAACTATATTCAGCTGAAATAACTAAGTTTGTATCAGGCCTCAGACAGACCAATATCTAGTTCTTAGGCCATTAACTATTCCCTGCTACTCATCTGGGAGTGTCAGAGAGGTGGGAATTCAGATTTTGGCTAGACAAGTTTTAATTCAACTTCTCCATAATTTGAAAATGACTCATTAAAAGTAGTATTAAATTGTACTCTTTAATTGAAATCAGAGAACTGGGCTTGCACAAGACTGACACATTGTACAATAATTTAATATTTGGTGCTACCAAAATTTGACAGTAGTGAGTTAGTTATTAGCAGTGATACTCATATTTTCAGTAAGTGTTCCCAGTACTGTTTGTTTCCTTATTAGGCACTAATATACTTAATAAATTTTTATGAGGCCTCAAAATTTATGTCTCAAAATAATAAAAATGTACCAAATATATAAAATATCTTTTCTTCTAGTAATAACTGGAACTGTAATCACAGCAGTAACACGGGCGGGCAGTCTGCATGCAACAGTATCCATCATTAATGTATATAAGGAGGGAAATTTAGCAATCCAACAAGCTGGCAAGAATATGAGTGCCAAGATTCTTGTTATGTGTAAGCAGTGTCCTCTCATCAGGAGAGGTAAGTACACAATAGTAACTGCTTTGTGTGTTTATAAAAGATAACAGTTGTAAACACTACAATTTGAAATATGACCAGAAAAACCAATAAAATTACCATGTTGTTTTTTTTTTTTTCCTATAATCAGCAGTTAGTATTAAAATAAATAACCAGTAATTCAGGGGTTTATTGCATTTTTCTGTTTTACTGCAAAAGGATTAGGCTCACGTAGATCACAGGAGTTTGGAAAACTTTTTTCCTTAAAAGCCACTTGATGCAAGACAAAATGTCATTTTCAGCTTCATCTCTCAGATGAAGCTGAGATAGATTTTATGTTTACAGATATGCATTTTGGAGCTAGTTTTTATACACAGTTGTTTAGAAGGGAAAGACAACAGCCTGCTAAACCTAGAAGAGCAGTATTTCACAGGAAATGGCAGAAATCAAGTTCCACTGTTGTGTATCTCCTGAATTATTTACAGCTTTACAGAAATACTCATAGTATTAAGCCCACTTTGTATCTGCAAACAGCCAGTACTGCTAAAAGCTACTTTAAATAATATTATACAGAGATCAACAAACATAAATTCCAGTTAATTGTGGTAAAGGTGTTAAAAGAAATACTAAGAGCATTTTTTATTGAAGTAACTAAGTAAAAAATAAAACTGTTTTTAGCTTTGCCTAAAAACAGGTAGAACACGAGAACATAAATGGAGCCATAGTAGGAAACAGTCAAAATAATTTAATAAGTATCAAAAAAACCCTGATACTATTCCAGATAGTACCAGTGCTTAAGCATATTAACTCAAAGTGGGCAGTAACAAAGTGAAAAACCATGATCAGAAATTAGCTTTTGCCTTTAGTTATCTGAAAACTACACATTGGGAGACATAGTAATGTCCTTGGTGAAACAAACTCTCTCCTTTTAGGCAGACTTCTGGCTCCAAACCGCACACTTCTGTTTCTCATCCTAAATCTCAATGAATTATTTAAGAGCCATTACATAATATCTGAACTTTTCTGTTTATATCCCTGTGATACCATTCCTTACAGCCCAAGACCTTGCAAATCCCCAACCCTTCTAAGGCATAAAAATATGCAGATTCAATTAAATTGTCCAAAGCCAGGTCTTACCACTCATTAAGTCCACCTTGCCTGAATGCTTCTGTGTGTATCTAGAAAATATTTACATCTCTGTGGAGGAAAAGGGAATGAAAAGAATTAAAGGCATTTAATCTACAAGCTGAACAAATGTGAAAATATTCAAAATTAATGAGACATATTCCACCCTGGGTGACAGTGGTTAGGTTATCCAGTGTTGATGGGTACTTCTAGAGCCTCTCAGACTCACTTGACAGTCTAAGTTTAAAGACTATCACTATATCTTTAATTATGTAGTACACACTTAGCTGTGTATCTGCTTGATTTTTACATAACTGTAGTTTGTGGTGTAACAAGCACGGCAAAGATAGGTAAGGGAGTAAATGTTACAGATAGGAAGGAAAAAATGTTGGAAGGCATTGGTAAGAAACAGAAACCACAGGTAAAGAACTATACTTACCAACTGATATCCCAGATTTCTGATTTGTAATCTCTTTCTCTCCTTTCTAGGTTTAAACTACATCATCATGGGCCAGGTAGAAGAAGATGGTAGAGGCAAAGTCTTTCCCAACAGCTTTGTCATGAGTTTTAAGACTAAGAACTCAAAGATCCTAAATGCCTTGAAAAACAAAACATGTCAAAACTGAACTCTGCAGCTGCATTCTATAATCCATCTTGAAAAATAATTTTAACTTAGCATAAGTCACAGAAATACAACTGACTGCCAACAGTATGACCATGCTGACTCCTCCTTCCCTC